TATTTTTCTTAATTAAATTTTTGAATAGGTGGCAAAAATATTTTAGCGACACTAAAATATCTGGATCATTGTCATCTGACATTAATGAAAAATTTATAGAAGAACGTGCATCGCTTGAACTATCTATTCGTGACTTTGAAGAGGGTATTCACACAGGTTTTCAGCTCGCAACTAAAACAGGACCTCTTTGTGCTGAGCCATTAATGGGTGTGGCATATTTCTTAGAAGATTTTACAATATCCATAGATTATGAAAATGTAGACATATCTGAGAGTTAGTAATCAGTTATTTTTTTTTTTGCTTGTTATTTGGTAAAAGATCGTATTACCAATATCACCAATTCTTTTTTAGTCCGACAGAAATTAGGTGGATATGTTATAACAACAATGAGAGATGCCTGCCTCCAAGGATTTCTTGAATTGTCTCCCAGATTGATGCTTGCCATGTACTCTTGTGATATTCAAGCAACAAGTTGAGTGAAGTGAGATAAAATTTTCAATTTCTCAATAATAAAATTTTAAATCCTAATTTTAAACATTGGGATTTCAGCCGAAGCTTTAGGCCGTGTATATGCGGTTATATCTAGACGTAGAGGTCGTATTATATCAGACGAACTAAAAGAAGGAACTCCATTTTTCCAAATTTGTGCATTGCTTCCAGTTGTTGAAAGTTTTGGATTTGCTGATGGTCTGTTATTGACCGTTTTTGCATTTGATCATCACTGTGCAAATAATTTAATATTATTCTATCTTTCATAGAAATCAGAAAACGAACTTCTGGTGCAGCTGTTCCGCAGCTTATTTTCAGCGGGTAAATAAAGCTACGATTTTGGATTTTAACAATTTATTCGATTAATAATAACCCTTTATTGTATAGGTTTGAAATGTTAAATGAAGACCCTTTTTGGGTACCAACAACCGAGGAAGAGCTTGAGGATTTAGGAGAAAAATCCGATAGAGAGAATCTTGCAAAGAAATATATGGAGAACGTAAGGAAACGAAAGGTACTGTGTTAGGATTTTAATTGTAACTATTGTAACTATAATTTTCGTGATGTAAAGAGCCAATTTTATTATCGAATTATTAGGGAATGTCCACGGACAAGAAAATTGTTGAACATGCAGAAAAACAACGCACACTTAAGAAGAAGTAGGATTAATTAAGCATGGTGGGCTTTTATTGTTATTAATTGATCATCATGTGATATGGTAAAGATCTTATTAGTCAACAAATCTTAACATTATCGTTATCGAAGCAATAGATCAATTTAAAAAATAATAATAATAAATAAATAAAATATATCCGTGCAATATTAACTTATAACTTAACACTAATAAAAAAAACACTACAAAACCAAAATAGGTCTAATTCTAGTATTATAATTTTGGTTATATCGTTAATAATAAAACATCGACCTATATATGATTTTTGACCAGTCAAATCAAAAAAATTCAAGATAATTCGTTTACATTTAAGTAGGGTCGTTAATGGGTTAAATTATTCCTCAACCCACTCCAATTTGGGTTGTGCACACCAGAGCAGCTCTGGAGTATACCGCTCCATTAACAATCCTACATTTAAGATTAAAATCTACTTAAGTGGAATCTGAACTCTCAGAATTCCCGACTTAGCCGGCTAAGTCTAACATTGATTATAGTCCATTATAGGATCAATTTGTAAATTAATTACGGACTGTTCTTGATCCAAACGGAAAATTTTTAAATAGAGTGGATATCGATTACCAGCTGCTGAGTATTTTCTACAGGGGGATCCCAAATTTCCGGGTCGTAATGGCCGGAATGCGTCATGGTTAGGGGCTAGTTAGGGTTAGCGAGAGCTATAGGCTATAGTAGAATTATCAGCTGGGCACTTTTCACTTAATGAACGACTACTGTTTCATTAGTAAAATTAGTGATCTTGGGGCAAAATTGATCAACTCTGGCCCTTCCGACCCGGAATTTTGGGGATCTCCCTGTAGGAGTTGCTACAGAGGTAATTACCATCGATTAGGAAAATCGACATTAGTAGCTAATCGATGTACAATCGATTAAAAATAATCGTATCAATCGATTTCAATCAAAGCGATTCTAATCGATTTTAATTAGCAGCTTTATTGTCAATCGATTCTAAATCAGTATCACTGGTAATCGGCAGGGGTGCTGCTTATCGATTGGCATTTCTTTCTGTCAATCGATTGCCACTAATTTAAAATTTTCCTGATGTAGCACCTAGCCATGGCGAAAAAAGCGGCCATTTGGAAATTATTGAACTTTACATTCTGATTAGAAGAAATTAGCAGCAAAATATCTTAACAATTATCTATCTAAAGCTACAGTATACAGTAAAAGCTCTTATTTCAATTTGTTTAACTAAAATTAATAAAATAATTTTTTATCAATTTTTGAATAAGTGTTGAGATTACACTCAAAAATTTCAAATAAAGCTATAACAAAGTTTTTGTTTTAAACTTTGATATTTTGACAATTATTTATTTAAAATTGGATGTTATTGATTTTTAGATAGATGTTATTAAAATATCTTTTTAAAGTTTAAAAAAAACTTTAATCTCTTTCGATTTTTATTTAGCACTGATAAATAATTTGATGTTTTTAGATTGCGCGCACCATAGTCTATTTATTTAATGCGTATTACGTATCGCTAATACAAGTCATACGTAACAGTTTATCATTATAAACAAACTTATACAAATGTAGTAATTAATACAAAATTCTTAAACAAACCATATAAATATATATAATATATATATAATACTGTATTTAGATAATTATATTTTTTGTCTATATACATACAAATTGCTTCTTAAGGGTAGTGAATAATTCACCCGGTCCAGGGATGATGATTTTCTACGGTGATAAATGAGATAAAATGCCATGATAGATAAATTCTACGATTTGGCCTGAATTACATTTAAGTCAGCCAGAATTACGACTAAATCTTAGCCAAAATTT